TTATTTCAACTATGACATAAAACAAACTAATATGCTTCATTTCCATTTGATGTCAAGATCCATGGTGATTCCACATAAATACCTCACCTATAAAAATGCGCCAAAGAAGCTGTTACAGTCAGCAGAACTCACATGACTGTAAGTATCTCCTCTTTCGAATATTTACTGATGACCTGTTGAAGATGCTCAGCTGTTTGCCCATCCATTGCTGCAACGGAGTAAAAGCTTGAAATGAAATGTACCTCCGCTTCCAGAAAGCCTCGCACTTGCTCCTGCATAATTTTTAGCGTTTCTCGTGTTCGCGCTGCATCACTACACCAACAAATAAAAAACTTGTTTTTGGGGTCCTATGTGTCAAATTGCTATATGACTTGTCTGAGAAAATACTCACCTACATAAAATAAGTTCTGGAATCCAACCNACCAACAAATAAAAAACTTGTTTTTGGGGTCCTATGTGTCAAATTGCTATATGACTTGTCTGAGAAAATACTCACCTACATAAAATAAGTTCTGGAATCCAACCCAACTGTTGGAGCTTGTGAGAAACTTTGATAGCATCAGCTTGTCCAGCTTTACTTAGAGGGCGATCATGATCTATGCAAGGCAAACAACAGAACTACAGTCAAGAGACCTGAAAATGAATNCCCAACTGTTGGAGCTTGTGAGAAACTTTGATAGCATCAGCTTGTCCAGCTTTACTCAGAGGGCGATCATGATCTATGCAAGGCAAACAACAGAACTACAGTCAAGAGACCTGAAAATGATTTCAATAATATGTACTCTTGTCTAATTTCCTTTTTGAAGATACATTGCACTAACGGTCCCTAATGTCTACAATTTACTGTAACTTTAGCACAGAAAGTTCCAAAATAGTAACTTCACCACAGCTGGTCCCAAGCCCAGATAAAGGAGGGTTGTATAAGGTAGTTGATAATCAGCTTAAAAATGAAGAACGTTAGTGAAAAAGTAGAGACAACCAATGCAGGAAATAAATTAAGAGAAAATTGATTTAATTTTATAAATGACCTACTCAAGTGAGAAAAAGTTACGTGATGGTTATTGATGATAATCGAAATGGCAAAGGAAGACCAAAATTAACTTGGTCGCACCTTGTTGCTATAACAGTTGGGTCTGAGACAGTTGCGATAAATTCAGTTGATTGTGGTTCAGCGGTGGATTCATCCTAGCGAATGGTTATGTGGATTATTTGCACCTTGATATTGCTAATAATCCATTGAGTAAAAAATTTAATTAGCAATATCAAGAAGTAAAAAATTAAAAAATTTAAATTATTAGTAAGAAAATAAAAGGCCTCATTGACACTTTATGGCTTTAGGCCTTGTTCTTGAGCCGCCCCTGAGGATAGCTATATTTCTCAAGATTTTGAAAACAGAGGGGGAGGCTTGGACGAAGTTCCCAATCATGTTTTTCATTGCATTGGACAAAAGAAAACCATTATCAAATGATTCATTTATATAAAAAAGGAGAAACGGAGTCATTGGAAACATTAGGATAATAGCTGAAAATCTCAATTTTGACCAACACAAGTACCGATTCAATTTTTTAGACCTTTAATCTGTACAAAGCTACCTTAATTGCAAAACAAACACATTGGACGGGCTGTGTCAAGCAGAACCAAAAGACTTACAGTTGTGTTCATGTATGGATGTAAAATAAGAAGGTTATCTTTGTAACCCACAGATGATCGACTCAGAAACTATAGACCAAGTTATCGTGCCTGAAACGGAGCTTCAAGCTCCAGAATACCATAAAGACGGTGCAAATATAGAGTTTTAAAATGAGATTGTTAATTAATTTATCCGAGTAAGTGGTATGGGGAAGGAGGAGATGTGAAATTACCACGGAGAGAACGATCTTCCCAGGAGCTCTTTGCATGCCGAAGCAGAATCAGGCGACGAGCAACGGATTCATCCGAAGTCTGGCCTTCGACGGTTTCAATCACGAGAGATGGAGTCGCATGGGGATGGGGCGATCGTATAGGGTTTCTGCAATGACTGGAGGGATTATTAGCGCCGAGGGGCGGTGAGGATACAGTTCTTTTGGAGACTGTTGGTGGAGGGTTCTGGAACAAATTACCGAGAAGGGCTGCCGCATTCATGTCGCCTGTTAATTGGCGTCACTTCTTCCTATGCTATCCCATTTAATAGCGAACATGGGCTGGGGGTGTGGGCCGTTATAATTGATTATTGGAAAAATTTTAAGGAGGTATACCAAATTAAATTTAATCATAAAAAAATACACAAAAAAAAATATTTGATACTTAAGTCCTTAATTTTGATAATTATTTGTATGTAAGTACACTATTTAAATTTTATTAATTTTTTTGTGATATTTTTGCCATCTATTAATCTATATGTATTTAATACACTAATTTTCTATGAAAAGTGGTGCATTAAACATCCCCTAGTTATATGGGAGAACTTTAATACATATTTTATATATACGTATGTGTATATATATATATATATATATTTTAAAAACGTGTATATATATATATATATATATATATAAATATGTATGTATATATATATACTTATATAATATATATATACTTGTTGTTAAATCTCTTATCTAAATTTTGAATTATCTTTAATTCACCTTGATTCATGCGTATCTTTTTTTGGAAAGTGATTGTGTTTTCAAATTATATTTAATGCATCTTGATTCATGTGTTTTTTTTTTTTTGGAAAATGGTTTTATTTTCAAATTCATTTAATATCCGAATAGTGTAATAGTGTAACAATAACAATATAACAATGTAATAATAAAAGTGTAACAAGCTACTTACACAAAATATTGTACTATTATATTTTGTCAAACATATAGTTTCATATAATTTCATTCAAAATAGTTTATTTCTATTTTGAATTTATTACCACATGCACAAAACTATTGAACATTGATTTTGTAACAATGTATTGTTACACTATTACACTATTCAGATATCAAATTAATTTAAAAATAAAATCACTTTCCAAAAAATAAACGCATGAATCAATGTGCATTAAATATAATTTGAAAACAAAATCACTTTCCAAAAAAAAAAAATAAGCATGAATAAAAGTGCATTAAAGATAATTCAAAATTTAGATAAGAGATTTAACAACAAGTATATATATATTAACAAATACACATGAATCAAGGTGCATTAAAGGTAAGAGATTTTGAATTAAATAACCATAAAATGGGTATTTACGTCTTTATATCTCAGTTGTGTACTTTTTTTCAAAATATTTTGTTCTATGTACTTTTTGTCAAATAAGTCTAATTAGGTATACCGACTTCCAAAGAACCTTGATTATTCCAATATTGCTAGGCCGAAAATAAGGGTTTAGGGTTTAGATACTATAACAATTATCTAATAGAGAGGAAGGCATTTATTCGGTTATAGGGAGCGAAGCTCTATTTTATCTCTAGAAACCTAACTACGACAGTCTTCAATTTCTTTCATTTTCTTTGATTTTCTGCTGATTCTATCTAAATTCTGGCTTGCTTTTCTTGATTAATCAATGAATTCTGATAAAGATCCACATCAAATCCCACCCATACCTCCAGAGATCATCAAGAACTTTGTCTCCTTGTTCAAGAAACTTTCGAAAATGGAAAATTTCTTGAAAATTCCTACTATTTTCTAAGATGAATTCTATGACTTTTGTTGAACCTTTGGGGTGTAATAACATCACTTCTATGCCTCTTAATCCTCTTTTGAATCAAAATCAATTGAATTCTTAGCTTGCTTCATCATCGATTTTTCCTTCGACTGTGAGAACTCGTGCGAACATTCAGATTCCTTTGGATTCTCATTTGCTTAATGTTTCCTCTACGAATCCTATTTCTAGCAACTTTGTAAGTTCAAAGGACCAAATTAGTGAGAATAATTTGGGAGTTCTGCCTTCGATTGTGCCTTCGACTATGCCTTTCACTTCTGTCAAACCTTAATAGGAAAGTGTGCATATGGTAAGCTTTCCCTAGGGGTTATCAAGGAATTCATTCTTTCTAAGTGGCTATCAAAAGGAAATTTTTTTGTTGGAATATTAGATCCTAGGCATGTATTGATCAGGTTTGAGTTGTATGAAGATTATGTAAAGACCTAGTTAAAGGATACTACCTATATTGAGGGGTTCCTTTTCAAAATTTGTCCCTGTTTGGGTGTCTCTTCCTAGATTACCAATCCATCTTTTCAGTAGGGAAAGTCTTCGTGATATTCTGAGCCCCATAGGTAGGATTTTGGTGATTGATAATGCTACCTTGCATCTATCTAGGCCTGGAGTTGCTAGGGCTTGTGTGGAAATGAATCTTTTGGCAAACAATCCCAAAAGTTTTTGGCTAGATATGGGGGGAGTGAGTGGTCGTTGGCAGAGGATTGTCTATGAGAAGGAGTTTAAATATTGTGTTGTTTGTCTTAAACAAGGTCATGATGATCTTGAATGCAGGACAAAGAAGAAGCATGAGGGGAATGCTACTTCTGAGAAGGTCTCTGTTCCTGTGAATGACTCTGGTCATGATGAAGGTTGGAAGAATAGGAAAGGGAAAGCTATTGCTAATCATGATCAGAGAGCAAAACCAAGTAGGGAATATAGACAGAAGACTACTGTGGTGTAGGGTCCACTCATAGGAAATAGTTTTGATGTTTCTGAATGAGGTGAATGAAGTTGTTGATTTGGATGAGAACATGCCTTTTCAAGGGGATGCTGGTGTGAATATTCAGCAAGTGTTGGGAGATAAGTCCAGAATAGATTGTGATAATGCAAATGTGAGCTTGGTAGTAGATCAACTTTTTCTTAATTCTCAGCAAGAGCTGGAATTGCAGAGTGATGTTGTGGAGTTGTGTCAAGATGCTCAGGGACAAATGGTGGATACAAATACTGATGGTGCTATTATGGAAAAGAATGCAGTGGAAAATATTGCAGAGGCTCAGGAGCAATTGAGTGTTCCAAATGCTGCTGGAAATAGTTTGGAGGTATTCTCTTTCTCTTCTCTTGTTATTTTAGTTAATAATGTTGCTAGAAAAGATGGATTGAATGTTGTGGTGATGGAGGAGAATGAGGGTGTTATAATGAGTAAGTTTGTGAGAAGAGAGGAACCTAAGGAGAATTTGGGGGAATGCAATGTTCTTTATGCTCCATCTTTGGGTTCATCTTTTTTAATGGAGCATGAGTAAGATTTAAGGAGAAGGGGTGAAGGAGTTGTGGATGATCAGTTGGGATTGGTAAGTGAAAGGGTGCCTCCTGATAAGGGGTACTACTCAGATCAGGGTAGTTCTAAAACTTAACGAGATGTAACTGTCGATTATGACAGTTATTTTCATAAGGAAGATGAAGGTACTAGACTTAGTTCTAGTGGCTATTAATTCATGATTAATCTCATTTCCTAGAATATGAGAGGAGCAAAGAAAGATGCCAAAATAAGGAGGTTAAAAAAGCTTATGAAGATGAATGATGTTTGTTTTGTGGTTGTTCAGGAGCCTAAACTGCTTGTAAGTAAATTGCCTTCCTTTGCTAAGTGTGTTGGCTTGAAACATTTTTGTGTGAATACCTTGGCAGAGAGGAATATCTGGCTTTTTTGGGATGATAGAGTCAGTATTAAGGTGTTGTTTAAGCATGATCAGGTACTAATTGTGTAGATGAAATATATGAATTCTGAGGTATTCTGGATGTCTATGGTGTATGCAAAATGTGATCATGTGTTGAGAAGAGTTTTGTAGCAGCATTTGAATGAGGTTGTTATTCCTGTAAACATGCCTTGGTTAATGGTTGGTGATTTTAATTCTATTCTATGTTTGGATGAGAGGAGAGGAGGAGCATTTCCTTCTTTGAGTGTAATAGAGGAGTTTGAGGATTTTTTGGATCAGAGAGGTTTGATGGATTGTGGCTTCAGTGGGAACAAATATTCTTGGTGTGATACCAGATAGGGACATGTTAGGATGATGCAAAGGTTGGATAGAGCTCTAATGAATGTGAGCTAGTCTCTAAAATATGAGAGTATAGAGGTTGTTCATTTCCCCAGAGGGTCTTCTCACCATAGTCCTTTGCTGTTGAAAATCAGTGATGGTCCAATGCAGAAGAGAATCTCATATTTTAGGTTCCAAGACATGTGGTGTGATCATAAGGATTTTTTGAAGCTGATTGAGGAGAAATGGGGTGGGAACTATTCTGAAAATCCAATGTCTAATTTGTTCATTAAGTTGAAGTATCTGAAAGCTCATATGAAGTCTTGGAACAAGGAGGTTTTTGGTAATTTGTTTGATTGTATCAGAAATTTGGAGCAAAAAATCCAGATGATTGAGTTGAGTTTGGACCAAGATTTTAGTGATTCTAAATCCCTGGAACTAGAGAGATATAAGGGTGAGATGGATGATTTGCTTAGAAGAGAAGAAATTTACTGGAAACAGAAATCCAATGTGAGATAGGCTTTGCAAGGAGAAAGGAATACCAGGTTTTATTAGGCCATTGCTAGAAACAAAGTGATAAGAAACAAAATGACTAGAATCTAGAATAAGGAAGGTGTTTGGGTTTATGGGGACCAAGAAATTGTTGGGGTAGTAGAAGAATTTTTTGCTGAGCTTTATAAGTTAAAGGAGCATGTTTTGCAAGAGCATGTTTTTTTTGTAATTCCCAAATTGGTTACTGCTGAGGAAAATGAGAGGTTTTTAGTTGAGGTGAAAAAGTGATTTTTGCTATGGCAACTGAGAGTGCTCTTGGGCCTGATGGCCTATTTGGTAAGTTTTTCTGGTTTGATTGGGATGTTATTAAACTGGATGTGAGGAAGGTAGTGAACTTTTTGTTGAAAGGAGATGAAATGCCCAGATCAGTAAATTCTACTTTGTTGGTTTTTTCCTAAGAAAGAGGATCCAAGTACCTTCTCTGACTTCAGACCTGTTAGTTTATGTAATTTCTTGTACAAGATTTTTACTAAACTAATCACTACTAGGCTCTCCTCTTTGTTGCCTGTGCTTATTTTTGAAGAGCAACATGGATTTGTGCAAGGCAGGGGCATTGGTGAATGTGTAGCATTGGGCAAATGTTGGTAGGGGAGTTGGATAGGAAAATAGAAGGGGGGTAACATGGTGATGAAGTTGGATATGATGAAAGCCTGTGATAGGCTTGAGTGGGATTTTCTTTTAAAGGTGCTGAGCAGTTTTGGATTCTCTAGTTTGTTTATTCAAGTTATTACTAATTGCTTGGGTAATCAGCATTTTTCTATTTGTCTGAATGGACAAAGGCATGGATATTTTTCCTAATTCTAGGGGCTTAAGGCAAGGGGATCCTCTTTCCCCCGCCTTATTCATCCTAGCTGAGGAAGTGCTTAGTAGGGATTTGAGGGATGTATACTAGAAGCAACTGATTTCTCACTTCCATATTGGCAGAGGAACAACAGTGGTAATCCACTTGTTATTTGCTGATGACACTTTGACATTTTTGAGGAGTAAAAAGAAGTCCGTGTTGAATGTTTTGCAATTTATTAGTGAGTATGAAGCATGTTCTGGTCAGAAAGTGAATAGGTTGAAGAGTTCTATATATTGTTCCCAAAGGATATCTATGACTAGGAGAAACATGTTATCTGCTTTGATAGGTATTCTTGTAAAGAACTGCCCTTTTACTTACCTGGGATGCCCTATTATTAGGGGTAGAACTAGGATCTGTTATTTTGAGGAAGTGGTGAGGAGTTTTAGGAGAAGAGTTGAGGGATGATATGCCAAGATGCTATCTGGCATGGGGAGAATTGTTTTAGCTCAGTCAGTGTTAAATGTTGTTCCAATTCATATGTTAGCATGTATGAATATTTCTAAGGGGGTGGTGAAGAAGTTAAATGCTTTAATTGCTGGATTTATATGGTCTAGTAAGCTAGAGTCAAGGAGAAGGTAGTGGGAGTCTTGGGCTAATATTTCCAAGCCTAAATATGAAGGTGGTTTAGGGCTTAGATGTTTTGAAGAAATCCAAGCTGCTTTTAGAATAAAGCAGGTATGGGGTATTCTGAGTGGTAATTCATTATGGGCCAAGGTGTTTAGGGATAAGTTTTTCAAAGAAAAACATATGTTGAGATGTGGTTCTCCTAGAATAGGTCTGAGTTTTAAGAGTCTAAGGCCTTGGTTTGATTTTGTGTTGAGTAACTCTATGATGATCATTGGAAATGGTCAGACTGTTGATTTTTGGTGTGATCCTTGGTTGGAGTCCGGGCCTTTGATTCACAGAGTTGAAAATGTTCCTTTGGTTTATCCAAAGATTAGTGAATTGTGGAGTATGAATGAGTGGCATTTTGATAGGGTTTCTGAGTGGCTCAATTCTGAGATGTAAGAGGAGATATTGCATGTTGGTGTGGTTTTATCAGATAATGCTGATAAAGAGAGTGTGGAGGCACACTAACTCAGGAAGCTTCACTGTTAAATCTGCATGTGAGCAATTAAGCAGGAGAGGTATTCACAATGGCATAGCTAAGGGCATATGGGATCAGAAATTTTTTCCAAGTGTTCAGGTATGTACTTGGAAGATTTTTAGAAATGCTATGATTGTTGATGATAGGGTGCAGAGTGTGGGTGTTTCTTTGCCTAGTAGATGTAATCTTTGTTATGAAGAGGTGGACAATATCTCTAATTTATTTATTAAATGCTCATTTGCTCAAGTAGTGTGGAAAAGGTTGTCTGCTATGATGGGATTTGAAATTTTAGATGGTGAATCTCCTATATGCAGATTTTAGAGATTGTTGAGGTGTTTCAGAGCTCCTTCTCGGAGTCATGGTTTGATTAGAGGAGTATCCATGTTGATTTTTAGGCTTTATGCAAAGAAAGGTGTAGAAAGAGGTATGAGGGATTAGAGGTGAATGCATATGGTGTGTTTTTGCAGGTGGTTAGTGCTTTAAGGTGGCAGGCTTTTATAATTAAGCCTAGGAGAGGAGAGGAGAGGATATTAAAGGGAAGAAGTTGCTTCATGATCTTAAGATTGGTAATCCTTTCTCAGTGGTTACTAAAGTCAGATGAATCAAATGGGAGCCTTCTCATGATTGCATGCTGAAAATGAATGTGGATGGGGCATCCAAGGGGAGGAGTGGATTGTCTGGAGGGGGAATGGTAGTAAGGAATGCTAGGGGTCAAGTGATGTTGGCAACTGCTGCTTTTTATAGATTAGGTTCCAATATGAGAGCTGAATGCCTAGCCTTACTTTGTGGCCTTAAATTGATTATGCAATATGGTATGGGGAGTTATGGATTTTTAATTGAATCTAACTCCCAGGTGCTAGTTCAAATGGTGATGGGAAAAATAGAAGTGCCTTGGAGGATTCAGAGGGTAATTGAGGATATATGAAAATTGTTGGAGTGAATGCAGTTTCAAATGAAGCATGTGCTTAGGGAAGCTAATAATGTAGATGATTTTCTGGCCTCATATGCTGTCAGAACTGGTTATTTCACTGATTTTTCAGACAGTGGTATTCTGCCAGTAGATGGAAGACTGATTTTGCATTAGGATCAGTCTAGGATTCTTACTGCTAGGAGGAGAAAGGTTGTATGTGGTGGTCAGTTTGATTTTGCAGATCCTAGTTTATGCAGTGGTTCATGTTGGTTGTGCAACTAAATTGAAAAACCTGGTATGGCATGAAACACTAGATCATTTAAGGAGGAGGTTGTTTTGATAGAATGAGAAGTGAAGGTTTGACAGTCTATACTGTCTATGCAGTTGATGAGTGCAGGTGGAACTGAGCTTTTATAAATGTTGAATTTGGGCATGGGCTTTATTCTTAAATGTTGATGACTGGGCAGATGGAATGTGGAAAATAGTTATATGGCTTGCATCCATTTGAAGGATTAAAGCCAGCTCTTGGTAAAGTAGAGACGCTAGAAATACAGATGTATAGAAATTTACTGTTTTGCCGTTGTAACAGTTTTTTTAGTTCTTGTTAAAACAGTTACTGTTTTATTAGAAAAGTTTCTATTTTTGATTCTTGTAATTCTTGAATTTCAATTAATAAAATTCTCCTTCTCTTAAAAAATAGGGTTTAGGGTTTAGGGGTTTAGGGTTTAGCGTTTTAGGGTTTTAGGTTTTAGGGTTTTTGGGGTTTAGGGTTTAGGGTTTAGGATTTAGGATTTAGAAGGTAGTTATTCTGTTCTAGAGAGAGAAGCTTTGACTTCTCTCTAGAAAACTTCTTCTGCAAGACTTCGATTCTACCTATTTTTCCTTGGATTTCTCATTGATTTGTGCCAAAATTATTGGATTTTTGTTGCTTAACATGAGTCCAGATCAGAATCATAAACAAATTCCGCCCAAACCTTCGGATATTACACGAATTTTTGCCTCCTTATTCAAGAAAATTCCTAATTCTGTGAACGCTAGTTCTAGATCTATTACTGGCTTGGGATCTTCTGTGAATCTTTCTAGTGGTGAGGAATTGTGTGTGATGCCTTCTTCTATTCCTTTGATTGCCCAAACCTCATCGGTTTTTGAAATTCCTTCGATTACTTATTTCCTGTCGATTACTCAATTTCCTTCTTTGGTTGAAATTCCTTCGAATCCTCATTCTATGAATAATCAGACTACTTTTGTTTATCAAATACCTTTGTCTGGTGGTGAGAAAGTATATGAATCTGATGGATCCAGATTATAGAATGTTTCTAGATCTGAGATGAATGCGATGGCTTCTAGGAAGGATTTAACTGGTGTATCGAATGTTCTGAGGACTGTGAAGAAAGTTGTGTATAATAACGGAGAACCTGGCATCTATTGGGCATCTGAAGAGATGTAGGAGTTGTCTTCCAAATTCCAGCAAGCTCTGATTGGAAAATGCATATATGGTAAGCCTTCTTTGGGCATAATTCGTGAGTTTATCATTATTAGATGGAAGCCTAAAGGTGATTTTCATGTTGGAGTCTTAGATCCTAGACACATCTTAATTCGTTTTGAATTGTATGAGGATTATGTTCATACGTGGCTCAAGGACGGTACCTATATAGAAGGTTTTCTATTTAGGTTCTTTAAATGGTTCCCGAAGTTTCTTCCAGGTATTGAGCCATCAGTTGTTTTAGTGTGGGTTTCCTTACCAGGTCTCCCCATTCATTTGTTTAATGTGGATAGTTTAAGGGACATCTTAAGCCATGTTGGCCGTATTTTGGTTATTGATAAATCTACGTTGAATTTAGCTCGACTTGGGATAGCTAGAGCTTGTGTTGAGGTCAATCTGTTGGCTAATAACCCTAGAAGACTGTGGCTAGATATGGGGGGCCGGAGTGGTCGATGGAAGAAACTTGTGTTTGAGAAAAGTGTTTTGTATTGTTCTAACTGCTTGAAACAGAGACATGATTCTGTTGTATGCCGAAAGAAAAAACAGGAAGGAGGTGATGTTATCCTGTCTTAGAATGAAGGAAAAAGGCATGATAAGGTGATTTATGATGTTGAAAACAGAGATACTAGGAGGGATGAAATGATTGAGGTTCGTAGAAACAAAGGTAAAAGTCCTATGAAACAGAGGACTGTTATACAAGAAGTTGAAATGGGAAATAGATTTGAAGTTCTGGAGGATTAGTAGGATAGAATCCCAGTTATGAATATTGAGTTGGGAGAACCTTCTAATGGAAATGTAAATGGGTTAAGTGAACAAGAGGCACAACAAGGAAATGAGAATGTAAGTGTAGGTGTTATGCCAGGAGAGGTTGCTGATACTGGTAAGGTTGATGTCTTGGAGGATGATGTTGAAAGGGTGGGAACGATGAATGAAGGTGATGATCAAAGAGTAAATGATAAGGGAGGAGTTTCTGCTAATCCTGACTCTGTAGCATATGATATTCCTTTTGCAGCTGGTACTAGTTTGGAGGTATTTGCTTTTTCCTCTCCTATTGTTTTGCCTCGAATTTCCCCTGTAGTGAATGCTGTGGCAGTTCTAGAACTCAGAGGCTTTGGTGAGTGAGAGAGCTCCACCAGACAAGGGCTATTATTCTGATCAGGCCAGTTCTAGAACTTAGAGACTTGTTAATGATGATCGAGATAACTTTGATAGTTCCTTTAATGAAGATGATGAGTGTAATGGATTAAGTTCCAGCAGTGCCTCTCTTTCTATGCATTCATGATAAATGTGATTTCATGGAATATGAGGGGGCAGAAAAAGCTGCCAAAAGAAGGAAATTAAAGAAGCTTATTAAAATGCATGATATATGTTTAGTTGCAATTCAAGAACCTAAATTGCTTGTGTCCAAATTGTATAAATTTGCTAAGAGTATTGGAATGGGATATTTCTATTTCAATTCCTTAGCAGAGAGGAACATTTGGCTTTTATGGGATAATAGAGTGAAAATAAAGGTATTATTTGAGCATGCTCAGGTGCTGACTGCAAAATTGACCTTTTTGAATAATGAGACTTTCTGGTTTTTAGTGGTCTATGCTAGTTGTGACCTTGTTCTAAGAAGGTCTTTATGGGAACATTTGATTAAGGTTGATATTCCTTCTCTTATGCCTTGGATTGTGGTTGGTGATTTCAACACAATTCTTTGCTAAGAGGAAAGAAAAGGGGGTGCTTTCCCTTCTTTAATTGCAAAGGAGGATTTTGGGGATTGTCTAGATCAAAACGGCCTGTTGGATGGGGGTTTTAATGGCAACAAGTCTACCTGGTGTGATAACAGACAAGGTCATGTGAGAATGATGCAGAGACTGGATAGGGCATTGATCAATGCCTATTGGAATATGAAGTTTGGAGGTGGTTCATTTAGCTAGGGGTGCTTCTGATCATTGCCCTCTGCTTTTGAAAATGATGAATGAGCCAACTCAGAGGAGAATATCATATTTTAGATTCTAGGATATGTGGTGTGAACATGAAGGTTTCTTAGATTTAATTTCAGCTAATTGGAATGGGTATTATTCTAAAAATCCCATGTCTACTCTGTTTATTAAGCTGAAGTATTTGAAGGCACATATGAAGCTATGGAATAAAGAGGTGTTTGGCAATCTTTTTGATAATATTAGAGCTCAGGAGCAAAAAATTTGTTTGGCTGAGATGAGTTTAGATCAAGATTATTCTTCAGCTAAAGCTATGGAACTTGAGGAACATAAGTGTGCTGTGGATGATTTATTGTGAAAAGACAAAAATTACTGGAAACAAAAGTCAAATATCAGGTGGGCTATACATGGGGAAAGGAATACAAAGTTTTATCATGACATTGCCAAGAGTAAGGTTTTGAGAAACAAGGTTTCTAGAATCTAGAACAAGGATGAGATTTGGGTTCAAGGGGATCAGGAGATTGCTCAGGTTGTTGAATTGTTTTATGCTGATCTATATAAGTCAGAGGAACATATGCTTCATGAACAGATTTTTTCTGTGATTCCTAAGTTGGTTAGTGATGAGGAAAATCTAAGACTTACTGCTGAGGTCTCCTTGGAGGAATTGAAGGATGTGGTATTCTCTATGGTAGCTGAAAGTGCTCCTGGTCCAGATGGTTTATCTAGTAGATTTTTTCATTTTACGTGGAAAGTTATTAAGTTGGATGTGTTGAATGCTGTGAATTTTCTTTTGAAAGGAGGGGTAATGCCTAAATCAGTGAATTCTACTTTGCTAGTTTTGATTCCTAAGAAAGATAATCCTATTTCCTTTTCTGATTTCAGACCCATCAGCTTGTGTAATTTTTTACACAAGATTTTTACCAAGCTGATTAATACCAGACTCTCTACTCTTCTCCCTAAATTGGTATCTGAGGAATAACATGGATTTGTCAAAAGGAGAGGTATTGGTGAGTGTGTGGCACTAGGGCAATTGTTGGTTGGTGAATTGGATAGGAAAGTGGAAGGAGGAAACATGGTTTGGAAGCTTGACATGATGAAAGCCTATGATAGGCTGAAATGGGATTTTCTTTTGAAGGTTTTGAGTTGATTTGAGTTTTCAAATTTGTTCACCCAAATTATTTTGAATTGTTTGTCTACTCAATTCTTTTCAATTTGCTTAAATGGTTAGAGGTTTGGTTAATTTGCTAATTCTAGGGGTCTAAGGCAGGGGGACCTTCTTTCCCTTACCTTATTCATTCTTGTTGAGGAGGTGCTGAGCAGAGGATTAAGGAGTATATATGAGCAGCAGTTGGTAACTCACTTCCATATTGGCAGAGGGACTACATTGGTTAGTCATTTGCTATTTGCTGATGATACACTGGTTTTTCTCAAAGGGACTAAAAAGTCTATGTTGAATGTAATGGATTTTATTGGTGTTTATGAGTCTTCCTCTAGTCAAAAAGTGAATAGATCTAAAAGCTCCATGTATTGCTCCAAGAGAATTTCTCTAAGCAGAAGGAATGTGTTGTCTTCTGTGGTGGGTATTCCCATTAAGTCTTGCCCATTTACTTATTTGGGCTGTCCTATAATAAGAGGTAGGGTGAGGAAATGCTACTTTGAAGGGATGGTGAGGAGCTTCAAAAGTAGAATTGAAGGCTGGTATGGTAAGATGTTGTCTGGTATGGGAAGGGTGGTGCTGGTTCAGTTAGGGCTTAACTCTATCCCATTACATATGTTAGCTTGCATGAATATTCCTAAAGGGATTCTAAAAAAGTTGAATTCCCTAATTTTTGGTTTCATTTGATCTAGTAAGCTGGATGTTAAAAAGAGGCATTGAGTATCTTTAGAAACTATTTCTTTGCCCAGATTTGAAGAGGGCTTGGGACTGAGAAGTTTTGGTGATGTACAGTTTGCATTTATAATCAAACAGGTTTGGAGCATTTGCAATGGTCATTCTTTATGGGCTAAGGTTTTCAGAGGAAAATATTTCAAAGGAAAACACATGTTAAGGTGTATGAATTCTAGAGCAGGTCAAAGCTTTAAGGTTTTAAGGCCTTGGTTTGATTTTGTGATGAAAAATTCTAAGACAGTAATTGGTAATGGTTAGAGTGTGGACTTTTGGTGTGATCCTTGGTTGGATACTGGTCCTTTACTTCTCAGACTTGAGGGGACTCTTTTGTATTTTGCCAAAGCCAGTGAGTTGTGGAATGGTACTGGTTGGCAGCTTGATGATATCTCTGAATGGCTTACTCATTTGTTGACTGAGGAGATTATAAATGCTAGGGTGAAATGCTCTGATAAACCTGATAAGAGAGTATGGATATATTCCAATTTTGGAGATTTTAGTGTGAAATCTGCATGGCAAGAAGTCAGGAAAAAGGGAGTGCAGAGTAGCGTAGTTCAAAGTATCTGGAAACAAAAATTATTTCCTAGTGCACAGTTTTGCACGTGGAAGATTTTTAAAGTTGCTCTGCCTACTGATGATAGGGTGAGAAGTGTGGGAGTTGCAATGGTCAGTAAATGTGATCTGTGTGGCATGGAGGAGGAGTCTATTATTCACTTGTTTATTAATTGTAGTATTTCTCATGTCGTGTGGAGCAGATTGGCTGCTATTATGGGTTTTGATATTCTGATAGGAGAATCTCTAATGTGCAGATTGTTGAGATTGATAAGAAGCTTTAAGCATCAATCTCTGAGTCATGTTTTGATCAGAGGGGTGCCTATGCTGTTTTTCTGGGCTTTATGGAAAGAGAGATGTAGAAGGAGGTATGAGGGTCTAAAGTTAAATGCTTATGCTGTTTTTCTATAGGTGGTGAGTGCTTTGTGGTGGCAAGCTTATCTTATCAAACCTAGCAGAGTGGAGCATCTGAGAGGAAAGGATATGTTGAAACATTTGAAAGTTGGCTCCCTTTTCTCTGTTGTAACTAAGGTGATATGGGTGAAATAGGAACCACCTCCTAGTAACATGCTGAAGCTAAATGTGGATGGTGCCTCTAAATGAAGCACTGGTTTATCTGGAGGAGGAATGGTGTTAAGGGACTCTAGTGGGCATATTATTTTGGCTGATGTTGCATTTTATATAATAGGTTCAAATATGCAAGCTGAGTGTATGGCTTTGCTTGATGGTTTGAATTTGATCTTGAGGCATGAGCTGCAGAGTAAAGAGTTCTAGATTGAATTTGATTCTCAGGTTCTAATTCAGATGATTTTGGGTAAAGCAGATATCCCTTGGGGGTTGCAAGATATTATGGAACAAATTTTACAGGTTCTTGCAAGACTTAAGTACCAATTGAGGAATGTTTATAGGCAGGCCAATATTGTTGCAGATTTTTTGGCCTTCTTTGCTGTGCTTTCTGGTAAATCTTCTGAGTTTTCTAGAACTGATATGTTGACAACTACTGAAAGGTTACTTTTATACCAGGATCAAAATAGTTTGCCTTATGTCAGGTTGATAAAAAGGGTGGTTTGTGAGCAAAGGCATGGAGTAGGATGATGATTATTTTGGTCATTTTATTTTGCTTCTATGGCAATTAAAATGACTTATGCTAAAGGTGAGTTGTTCTATGGAGTTTTGATCTGTGGTAAGGTGCTATTTTGTTGGGATGGTATTCTGCATTTCTAGCAGTATGCTGATGGGGGCTGTTTGCGTGTTGATTGTTGGTGGCTGATCTGTGTTGTTTTGTTATGATGATTTTGTTCTTTGATGGATTAAGCCTGATAGCTATGTCTGTTATCTGATCTGTGTTGTAAAATGACAAGATGATGCTGCTATGGTGATGGTTGATAATTCAATGTGGATTTATATTCAAAAGTTCAACATGCAACAGAGAATTAAAACAATGTGGGGGACAAAGATGTGAAAGGAATTTCTATGGATTTTCTTGTTGCTGATTGTTCTCTGGTTTCTATGGCCATATAAGCAGAAGTTGCTGTATCAGGCGTATCAGCTTCATGGGGAGTCTTGGGGATATCTTCCTTGAACTCTTTTCTCAACTTTTTTTGATGGCTTTGGGCTTCCTTCCTCGCCTTTTCATATCTTAACTTCATCTCTTTTGTGCTCATGTTTGTAGGGTGTGGTTATTCTGTGGAAGTGCTGCTTTTTAAGGAGAATTGCTAGTTATTCCTATGTCTGATGCACTGTATCAGGTGTGCCATATG